ATTCCATAATTTACTGAATAGAAGTTATGATAATCTTACTTCACTGAAAACAGCAATATTCTGTTTGATAATAATCCCAGATGGTAAAGGAAAAAAATGAGGTCAATTAAAGCATCAAGGTTTATTTATAGATTTTTTTTAATGAAATTCAAATTCAGTTCAAATTTAAATATACTTTATTGATCCCAAATGGAAATTAAATATATTTAAATCAATTTTAAACTTTTGTATTAAATTTGATCTATGGTCCTTTTAGGCTAGAAACATTTATTTAACACATTTCGTTTATGTTTAATTAATGAACCGAGTAGCCCTTTATGGTGTGCTAAGAAATATAACACAAAGATATTTTAAAAGCCACACAAAAAATATGCTGTGGGTATAAAGAGAGTTAAACTTATGAAATCCAACGCCCCTACGTTTAGTTCATTAGCAGACCTACTGTAGCAAGCAGGAGTTGTCCAGCCAATTAAATAAGGATATATCTCATGCTTGAGATACTGGGCTTCCACCTGCATGGGGAGCAGTTTGCTTTTGGTAGATCAATAGTTCCCACTCTGGTCCTGTGAGGCCATTAAACGAACATTTATGTAGCTTACATTTCACATTTTATCTGTGTGTACTTTTCTTCACCAGAATAACAAATTTCCATTTGGATGGATTCTTAATGCCTTCAATATTAGAACTACCTACGCTGTCCAACAGAATAAAAAAGTGTTTTCTTTTGCCACCAATAACTAAACATTTACACAGTCATTACATTCTCTAGCCTGTGGATGGTGAGACTGGGACCTCAGCTGCAGCTTACACCTCTGTTAAATCATGGTCATCACTGAAGGTACAGCGAATATGCTCCTCTTGGGTTTCATTATTGGTTAAACAAGTAATTCCTTTTCTCATAACCTAGCTGGAGGTGTTCTCTACAGCAATAGAAGATGTAATTTAAGACTCATCTTTGTGTGATTTTATTGTTGGATGGAAATCGCTTCTGTAATACAGTCCCATTACAAGCTAAATCTTTTTGTTAATACTATAAAGGAGCCCCCTTAAGAGCTGCTCCCCTTGAAAATGATTTATCAGGATTAATATTGTGGATTATGTTCATAATAGTGCAAAAATTATTATTCTAATAACTGCAGGGTGAGTCATTTGGTGGCAGAGGGAAAAATATAATTTTTCATAGGGACAGATTGCTTGTAATGGACAAATTACACACATACATGCACCTGCATGCATGGCTCCACCACACAAACACCTGCTCTGTCACCGCTGCTTTCAAAGATTTATGATATTCAGATATCACAATGGTGGCTGCCACAGATTTTCCTTTTAACCATTAGAACGGTTAGTAAGAGAGCCTGACACTGCGGCTATAACCGCTCTCTGATTATCATATAAATGAGAGGCCTGGGAGTAACACAGTCATCTTAGCACTGGTGATAAATGCATCTTGATTGGTTATTAATTAGCCAGCCAATTAAACTTCCATCTCCATATTCAAATCAGATTATGAAGTGCGGCAGAGAAATTAATCTCATAATTCTGCAGGATGATAAGGTGAAAGTGTCAGATACTCTATTTTGGGGCCATTATTTTCAAACCGTAACTAAAAGTCTCTAAGATGTGCCCATATTTTTAAACTATCTGTCTTACAAAATTTCTCCCCAAATATGATTCCTGTCACAATCTTTTCCAGTTTTCTGGTTATTTGACATGTTGTTGCAAATCGTTCTAATTTCTAGGTTTTGCCTGCTTGTTAAACATGTTTAAAGTTGAATAAACTACCATTTATGCTGTACGTAGTTGGTAGTCTAATATACTCAAAGCCGTAAAGTGGATCATTTTGAGATAAATGATTCTCTTTCTCCTTCCTGCGACAGTAAGAGTGATCACTCACCTGCTAAATTTTCAATAGCTGCAGACAAAATCATTCTCATTTCCACTCGAATGGAGACAAATGATGCCTCTCCTGTTTGAGGGGATGTCTGTCTGTGGGCTCTTCCTTCAAATACTAACTCCCTGGATATAAGTAATTTTCATCTGTCAAGGTTTTATTTCAACTTGAGTCCACTTTGATGACAGCTTCCTACTCTGCTAAGGCTTGTGATGGATGCTCCTCCATGTGGAAAGACTGCTGTACCCTCAGACTTGTAAAAGAAGAAAGTCCATCAGTGACAAGAACTTGAAAACGACCCAGTTTTCCCTGTCACTTATCTGATTCTTACTCTAGTATGCAGAGTCAGGCTGAGCTGAGAAAGATCTCTACTCAACATATTAGTGTCTGTAGGAGGAGTGACTCATAACTGAGAAACGTAACTTCTGGATGATGTTAGTTTTGTTTCAGTGTGTACTACTGTTTTTTTTCTTTTTTGTCAAACTGCGGTAATAAAGGAGATACAAAAGTGATGCACAAATTTCACTCAGTGAGATTAGAGGTTTTTGGATGACAATCTTATAGACTTTAAAAAATGATTTGAAATGTCTAAATGTCTTAGTTTCCCAAGATCTGATTCTTAAAAGATTTTATTCTGATTTAACCAAACAATAGGGTTATTCCAAATTTTGAACATTAGAGCTTTAAACAGGAATTTGTGCCACCAACTAAAAGTGGGGAATATTTCTGAAGGATCATACACAGTTTTCATTTAAAAACTGCATTTTGACCCCAACCTGCGTCAATATTGTGTGTTACCATTTTCCACTGAAATAGCCCTGGCAGTCCTTTACTCTCTCCAGGTTTGTACATCTTAACATAGAGATTCTGTCCCTTTCATATTTATAAATGACATCAGCTCTGCCAAAATGTCTCAGATAAATTTGTAACTGGACCTTTACACGGTTTGTAGCACTTTGCCTTGCAGCAAGAAGGTCCTGAGTACGATTCTGGACCCAGGGTCTGAATGTTCTCCCTGTGCACCTGCAGCTTTTGCCCAGGTACTGTGGCTTCCTTCCACAGTCCAAAAACATGATTGTTGGGTTGATTGGCATTTTCACATTGCCCATGGTTTTATTTGTGTGCATTACCCTTCGAGGACTGGTGACTTCTCCAGGGTGTATCCCACCTTTCATCCATAGACTGCTGGAGATAGGCACCAGCCCCCTGTAACTCTGATGGGTAAGCAGCAGAAGATGTATAGATGGCCCCTGACATGGAGATGTTAACACTTAAATATGATTTGATCTTAGTCATTCATTGTAGCTTTGGTAGCATATTTTATATTGTTTAGCTTCTCCAGTCAGAAGTCGCCTGCAGCCTCTAATCTTATTTTGATTATGCCCATGTATTTATTCAACCATGCAAATATCGCTGACCAGCTTCCCTATCATGGTTAAACAACCCCCCCCATATAATGTTGCCTTCTTTGGGATGTAGGTTTTTCTGTTTTCAATATTGGTGCTTCCAATTATTGCTTTTTGTGCCACTCTTCCATAAAGAGTAAATTTGTTAAGACTACTGGTGCATGTTCTGTCAGGACCTTCTCCTTTCTGAACAATGCATGTTTGCAGGTTCAGTGCTACTTTGGGCCTCTTGGCTGATTCGTTAATGAAAGCTCCCCTTGCCCAACCTGTATGATTTGGTAAAGAGACACGGCTTTAGTGTTATTATACTTCCCTAATTTTTTGATGATTGATCAATCAATGCCTGCTATACATTTTTCTGCAACTGTTCCCCTATGTCTATTGTAGTCCTCGGTCCTGATGGTGCTGTTTGTTCACTAGTATTCTTTAATAAACATTTGGATTTGTGTTTGAATCAGGGAAAAGTGAAAAATGTACTAATTAGATGACTTCTAAAGGGAGATTGCTGCTCTACATCTGTTTTAGGAATATCAGAGAAAAAAAATGCATGGCACACTTTTCAGATTTTTATTTGCAATTCTAGCTGCTGTATGTGCTTTGATAAAACTTAAGAGTAAATGCCAAGTGTCATTAGGAACATAAATTTCTAAGGCAATACCGTCCACTGTTTTGTTATCAATGTTTGACAGATTTAGTTTTGTTCATTCATGTTTGCATAATGGTCCTTATAAAGATAGAGACTCTACAGTAGTACCACACACAAACAGCCACCCACACAGGGTAAAGAGCAATGTACTGATTCTGTCTCCAGCTTCAGGGCTTCATGTCCATCAGTGTCTCTATCAGACTTTTTTGTCATCCACAGTCATGAGCTCATAGCATCCAGTGTAGACTTGCATTAAGTAGGCCATCAAGTTTTCCCTCCAACCTCTCCAAACATACAGACACAGAGACACACTCACACACCTCGGGTCAGTGACTCATGGTTTCTATACAACTCTTTATTTTATTATGTATTTCAAACTCATGGTTCATCTTTTAGACCGCAGGATGAAAAAAATAAAAACTAATCATGCATTTTGCCTACAGAAAAAAAAACTCCTATAGACATTACTCATGTCGATTTTATATCAGCCTTGCACTATACTGCCTCCGGTCACAGAAAAATCATATTTGTCTTTTTTTTTTATTATAATTTGTTTTCACTGTGATCTAGAACATTTCCTGCTTTGCACATTTTGGGAACCTTAAAGTTTTAACACGTTTTGTCTTAGAATAGGAAATGAATAAGTTTCTGTACTCTATAAACATGTGCTATTTTTACTAGAACATGAGCTTGCAGTTTTGCTTTAAGTATGGACTAAGTCATCAAACAATCTTTTATAAACTTAATTATAAATAAACCTTTGAATTCCATTAGATTATTTTTAGGCTAAATTTGGCAGATCAAAGTTTTCTATTTTGGTAGAATTAATTCATTCCTCTTATTTTAAACCATGTACAGCCCAAGCAATTCTTTTTTTGTTTGTTTTGTTTTGAAGATAGGAGGAAACTTATAATTTGTTGCCTTTACTGTCAAATCAAGTAAAATGTTCTTATTTATTAATAGAAACGAGCTGACATGTAGACTGAACCAATCTTATGACTTCACTAGTTGTTCTTCATGTGTTATAGTCACTGATGATGTTCTTCTCCTCTAGGATGGTACAGAGGATTCTCAACAAGGAAGCCGAATGTCAAGGTAAGATTCTGCTCAGTAACTTTCTTTTCAGCAGAATATAGTTGTTTTTTTATACCCTACAAACTTTTTCTTTCTTTATTGTAAGATTGCTGATGAAGTTACCTCAGCTCTTTTCATTTTCTAACAAAGATTATAGTGCATGAGCCATAACTCAGTGCTTCCTATAGATCAGGGGTCGGCAACCCAAACTGTTCAAAGACAAAAAACTGTCTGGAACTGCAAAATATTTAAAAGTCTTATATAAGCCTCCTGTTAGCCCACTATAAAAACGACTATATGGGCTTAAATATATAATTAGCATTCTTGATTAAATGTTTATCCTTGAGCAAATGTCACATCATGTGACTGCTCTGCTGTTTGATATTTGGTGCTTTAAGATTAAATTCTATTACAATATTAATGTATAGTTTTGTTGCATTGATGAAATTAAAGAAACACAATAAAGAAATCATATTTTTATTTTTATGTTTATTTTGAGGATTTGGGAAAATAAAATGGAAGAAAGTTCACATACCTGCATGAGAGCATTACCTATTAGATCTGTGAAAGGTCTTCCATGCTTGCACAAAACTTGCAGCAATAGTGGAGTTCGGAGATGCAATCCACTTCTTAAATCTATCTGTAATTTATCCAGAAGAACTGCAATCATACTTTTCCCTCACTCCCAACTGCCTTCCCATGAAATGCCTTTCAAAATGACTTTTTATTATTTGGCAACTTCTCGTTACAAACCAAACACACAGGCAATCCTTCTGCATTGGTAATGAAAGCAAATGATTCGGTCCATTCTTCTTTGAATCCTCAGTTCTCATCAGCTGTCTTCCTTTTTTCCTTTGGCATCCATGGCCCGAGATTCAGCCACAGCTCAACATCCCCCTGCTTGGCACTGCAACGTGCTAGAACCTAGGCTGCAGGCTATGATGCAAATCTTCATTGACAGAAAAGTTTACATTTACTTTTTCAGTTTATTTATTATTTAAAAAATGACAGCATTTGAAAACATAATTTATGTTTGTTTGACCTCCAAGCAAAGAAAATCTATCTTTTTCTATTTTCATTCATTAGGGAGCCACAAGGGGGGCATTAAAGAGGCTCTGCAGCTGCAGGTTGCCGACCCCTGCTTTAGACCATGAAATTAATAGATTCTTTAAATTTGCAGGATGAAGTCCTTTATCATATTTTAAGAACTGTGATACAAAAAACAAAAACAACTGTAACAATTCAGTTCTGCATCCAGAAAACATTTAAAAAAAAATCAAGTATTAATGATAATTAATAAAAGAGATAGAATTGCAGCTTGTGTTTTTTCCTTAAGCAAAGGAAAAATAGCTAAAACAACGTGTTCGTTGTTTTGATTCTACTGCTGCATCAATGCCATCAATGCTGGCACTGTGATAATAATGACCCTAGGCATCTCCTACTTCTGAAGGACACATGCATTTCTATTTTTTTTCTGTCTAGGTTGTAAGCAATCTGTTCAAGTTTAAAGGGGCATATTCTGGTTATTTGACTTTTCAAATGTAGACACCATTACCTCACTCTGGTTGTTACATTTTTAACTGCTGCATCCTGCTGGTATATATTATTAATAACTTTTTTAATTTCTACTTTATTTTGCTCTGTTTGTTAGTAAACAGCCTTAAAGGAATAGTACACCCAAAACATGATTAGCCTTCATTTTCTACTCAAACCCATACTGAACAACACTCTGGAGTACTTTTTTGATATCTCCAATGCATCTGGAGATCTGGGAGGCTTCTTGC